AAGCACCATGAGATATAATGGTATACATGTATAATACGCGTACCGTTTCGATATTATTCTCAACAAGTACGTTCATACTTCGTAACACGTTATAAAAAGATTAATATTATTCTTATATATTTAAAAAGTTTGAAAGTTTCTTACTTGGCAAAATAATCGTTTTAAAGAAATATTTTGCACAATTTCTTTGTACGAGTGATTAAATTAAGTTGAAAAAAAAAAATCGTGTCGATCTAACATGGATCGATGTGTAATAAATAATAAATAATAATGAGAAATGGAATGAATGAAAATTAAAAGATTTCAAAAATGGTTTTCGAATTCACGATAAGAAAATATACCTATATATTCTCAACGATGACGATAGCGGTAGCAATTGGCAGTGGTGGTGATAATGGTGGTAGCGGTGTCACCTCTGGTGTCTCTTCTAGTGTCGAAGCTGCTGCTTCGTAAGCATGGCTATACGGTACAAAGCTTCTTAGTGGGGATGGAGGACACTTTCACTCTCACAGGTGTATGACCGAGTCGAGAGCTCGGAAATACTTGTATTACCTGTGAACGGGTGTCGAAGGGTGGGGAGAAGGAGCGTGGAAAATGGAGGGGATCAAGAGGCGACGGTCCAAGGAAAAGATAGGAAAGGATAATGCGAAAAGAGGCGAACGTTTGGAAAATTCCCTTCGCCGAGTGGAGGAAAAGGAAAAGGAAAAAAAAAAAAAAAAAAAAAATGAAAAAAGGATGCATCGAGGAGAGAAAAGAAAAGAAGGAATGAGAAGAGAGAGGAAATCCAGTTTAAAGAGGTAGAGAAGGAAAAAAAATGCAAAGAGGAATAGAAAGGAAAACGTGGTAAGCAGATAGGAATTTATGGCTCGGGAAACAGGAGGACATTGTTGTGCGTGGTCCGCTAGATAACGGCCCAATGTCCACGTGCTTACACGTACCGATCAACGTGCATCGCCATTTCTTTTTTTCTTTTCTTTCCTTATTTCCATTTCATATCGCGTAAATTCGTTACCGATATCAAAAAAAGAAAAAAAAGAAAGAAAGAGGTGAAGATAAATCGTGCAAGTATCGTGCAAGCGATACGTAAATGGATGGAAAGAGAGGGATAAAAGAGGGAGAGAAAAGGAGATGGAATTCGAAGAGGCTGGACGAGGTCAGTGAACTTCACGAAAAAGTATGGTTTTTTGTGGTGAGTGTACGCTACTACCGAAATACGTTTCTGACGCGACAGGACATTCCCGCCGATACTTCCCAGTGGATCCTAGTGGGTTCCAGTGGGTCACTGGTTCACGAAGAATCGACATAGTGTAGTCCACGAGAATACGTGCAAAAGAGATGTATATTTTTGCAATATATTATTATTATTAAATATTTATTTGTAACGTTTTTTTCTAATATCTAATTTAAATCAAATAATTATCGACTTTATCGATGATAATTTTTCTTTTAACGCAGAGAGGATCTTATGATCCTCTTGTTACGAAATCTCGATGTTACGATTATTTTTTAATCGTAGATGTTATACACGTACAATGTACAGATAGATACGAAGAATTTATAAGCAAGATATTAAATGGATTTAATGGATGAGTAATTATGATAAAAGTGTTGGATTTGAAATAAGATAGACATGCGAATATTTGAAAAATTTGATCATTGGCCATTGGCGCTTGAAAAAGGCGTATATTTTTCGTAACAGACGCGAAAGAAGCATTCTGCTTGCTTGCGGTTCCAAGAAATCCGGTTAGAATTTAGGCTATGTGGAGCTCCTACTCGAATCTGGAACAGGCTGGTCATTGACCTTGCTTCGATCGCTCTTTGAAAAGATTTTCAAGCGCGATTACGAGTTTACCCATGATTATCTTTGAAAAAAAGGCATCAGATATTCCGTTTCTTCGAGCAATTTCCGTTTCAAAAAATTAAAAAAGTGATTGAACTATTGCAAAATGATTAAACACGAGAATGATTAGAAATTCAAATCCAGAACTGTTTCGATGCTTTTGATCGATACATGAAAAACCTATAAAATTTGAGGTTATGTTGGTCGAAAATTAAGAAAGCTACAATTGGACAGCATAAGGGAATAAGATAAAGATCTAAAGCGATTCTGAATTACGCACAGACGACTATCATCATTTTGACTTACATATAACTATATTATATATGAATAATATCAAAATAATAATCGGATTGACAATTGGATTTTTAATAATTCTTCGTATTATTTTTCTTTCCTACTTTTTAAAAAATTAAAAAACACGTGCAATGTAACAAAATTCGCAAAGGCACAAATTTCACTCTTTACTTTCTTTTTCAAGAAAGAGTCAAATCTTGTTTGAACAGTGGAGAAATCAATGTGAACGTATTTATAGACATTGACGTTGCAATTATGCGTATCGTTCTCTTTACTCCCTTTGACGAACTAATTGTATAGGGTATCCCAAAAATGTGGAGACATTCAACTGGAGACTCTTGAGCTAATTTTAGATTACATTTTTCTTTGCAAAGACTTTCGTTTCGGCTTTAACTCAACGAGTTATTATTGGCCAATCAGTAGACAAAATAACCATTTAGATAATAAATTAGTATTCTCTTTGCGGTCTCGTTATCATTTAATTTGCATTGATATATATTATTTTAGAAGAGAATGTAAAAGCCTTAAAGAGAACGGAAGTATATTGTGTTTCGCTATGAATTTTTATTATTCCTGGTATATGATAAACTTTCATAAACTCGATAATAATAAATTCAACTAATTTCGAATTGTTATTTTCAAAAGATTGACTTTGCAATCGTTATCTCGAAGTTGATTCTCATGCATATCTTTGTTGTCTCAAAGATGACTAGATATTAAAATATAAATAATAAAATATTTCTTGACAAATTTCTTCACTCCTTCTACAACGTTCTTCCTTCCTTATAACTTCCTTCTATATTCGTTCGAAAAATATACATTTAAGAGGAAATTTTAATATAACAGATTCCTCCTCAGAGATATTCGAATGATGGAAAGATATTCGATTGAATCGTGATTAAACAACGGAAATGATTATACATATCGGTTACGACCAAGTTTTAACAAATACATAACGAGCTTTTTAACAAGCTTGATAATGAAATAAACGAAACGAGGATAGAATATTTTCTATTTGCTTATCTATACATATAACTATAGTTATGTTATGGTATATATAAATACGTGCACTTGTGCGTTTTATATCATAGTACCTGTTTCGGTTGCATCTAGTAAGGATTAAATAATCAAGCTTGTCGTTTATCGTGGAAAGATGTATTGCCTTAAATATAATAAAATAGTAATTATCTTAATTGTCGTAACCACGAGTCTCGGTATCAATTCGACCAGTCTAATCGAAATCGATTTTGAGCAAAAAATCATTCCACCAATACCGAAATTTCAAGGGACATTCGCAGAAACTCACGAGCACGAAACTATCGGTAGGGCAGATACGTACAATGGCTCATGAAAGTAAATTTTTTTTTTTTAAATATTTTTATCAAAATATCATTTTAAAGAAACAAGAGTAAAATTGTATTCAAAACTTGTATCCAAAATATGAAAGTTTCAGAGGATTAATTTCATCCTCTCGAAAAAATTTCTCCGAGTAATTTTATTATTCCGTACAAATTTTTGGTACAAATGAATTTTTTCTGAACTGTAAAAATACTTTGAAATAACTTTCGTGAGTCCAAGAGGAAATCAATCGAACTATGATCACGATATTCGTCCATTAATTTTTGACAGCTAATCGCATAAAATCGTGGAAAAAAACGGACAAGCAGAATATTTGGGAGCTAAGCGGTTTGTACGAAGGAGACATAATGACCACGGAGGAAGATGAAATAAAGAATGGTCTGATAAAAACCGCGTTCCGTTGGCCAGGCGGTGTTGTACCCTATTACATAAAGGAAGAAGATTTTGGTAATTTATCTTGTATTAATAAGCTATCTTCAATAAAATTAATAAAGGAATAATACGAAATCGCATTTGATTAGACGAAGAAGACATAGAGGTGATCAAAGATGCTATAGAAGATTACCATCAGAACACGTGCATACGTTTTCGTCCTTACAAAAAATCTGACAATGATTATATCACTATAGAAGCGAAATCGTCGGGATGCTGGTCCCTGGTAGGTAGACACGATCACGGGCAAGTGGTGAATTTGCAGAATCCGGGATGCGTGCAACATGGTGTAATTATACACGAGCTGATGCACGCATTGGGTTTTTATCATCAACAAAGTGCCGCGAATCGTGACGAATGGGTGACGATCAATTGGGAAAATATAAAGCCAGGTAAACACTCGATTATATATTTGGATTACGATTCGAATGATTCGATATTGATTGACAATCGTTGTCACCGACCATTATTCAGGAAGAGAACACAATTTTAACAAATATGACAATCGCACCGTAACAGATTATGGAATCGGTTACGATTACGATAGCATAATGCACTACAGCTCTTACGCCTTTTCAAAAAATGGCGAACCGACCATCACACCGAAAGTAAGTAAATTGTTGCATTTCTTTCGTCTCGTTGTATCATTTTTTATTCGTTCATATAAATTGTATAGAAGAAAAACGTGAAACTTGGCCAACGAAAAGAACTCAGTGAGAAAGACACGTTGAAATTACGAGAAATGTACAAGGAAGAATGTGGCAAACGAGAGATGAATGGAACTGCGGATAACAATTCGATGGATGATATATCTATTGAGTGGATACTTAGTAAGAAATTGTAATTGAATTTTAATAGAATTTAAAAAAAAAAGTTCGACTTCTTTGTTAAATAATAAAAATAACAACAAAATATTGTTTAGTTTGGTAAAAAAAAAAGTTAATATTCATATGTTTTGTTGTCAGATACAAAAAATGAAATGTTAAAATGTTTGAAGAAAAAAAGAAAATGCATCAAGTAACAGGATTTTCTTGATTGTAGTATATCAATTCCTTTAATTCGTTGACTGCGTCTTCTGCGGCCTGAAAGTATATATATATATCCTGTATGTATAATATTTCAATCAGTTTAGTTAAATCACTGACCTAAGTTTTTTTTTTTTTTAATTACTTACAAGCCTTACAGCTTGATCGTTGTCCATGATTAAATTTTCTACTAAATTCTTTAGAGATTTACACCAGATTTGTTGTAAAGCTCTACAAGAAAATCTACCCAATAGTCTAATCAGGTGACAAGTTCTCATTCTGAGTATCGCTTGTCGATGCGTGAGCAGTTTACCAAGCTGTTCTATCGAGTTTCCTTTTTATGAAAAAAAATATTTTCTCAATATAACAACTGACCGACATTCGTGTTACTGATAAAAGAAAAACAAAACAACAAAAAGAAACAAAAAGAAAAAAAAAAAAAATACAATTTCCTGTCGGCAAAAACTTACCCGATAAATGTGAATGCAATACAACTTTTTCAACGAGATGAGCATTTTCCGGTTGAGAACGCAATATATTACTTAAAATTGCAACGAGATCTACGACTACACGTGCCTTTCTTTTTTCTAAACTCAATAATTGTTGTAGCAACGTCACTCCGTTTACGATATAAACGGCATCACAGAATTGGGTAAGAAATTGTTGTCTATTGTAAACCAATCTGCAAAGTACAAGCATCATGTATTCTAAGGTTTGTAGTTCGTCGGCGGATAGAGTAGATGCTGATCGCGTGATTGCATTTGTCGGCTCAGATTTTTTCTCTCCTTCGGACTCGGAACGTTTCGACATTAAAAGTTTCAAAGAGTAAACGAGATTCGGCACTACTCGAACGTCCAAATATACTTGGGTGATCTTCTCGAGAGAATCTTTTGTCACAGACACAACGTATGGTAGAGACAAAAGGCAAGCGACGTATTCGATGACTCGACAACCTGCTGCAGGATTTCTCAGTGGCGATACGAATACTGACACGCAATTTTGCTGAAGCAACGATCCTACTTCGCCATCCATGATTTCTTCCATGGATCGTTGCAAAAATGCTATCCATTCTTCGTTTTCGATCGGTCTGTCGACAGCTTTTGGATTCCAATCTGGTATTCTGTTGCCACACGATAGTCCAGCATTGGCTGTATCGTCTCGTCGGGAACGTAATTTTTGATTATATGCGTATTCGTTATTTTCACGATCTTTCTCATTGTGATCGATGTCTCGAGAAATGATCTGTTGCACAAGACAAAATTTACTTTCATCGATATTTTTCATTTCGATCTTCTTTTGTAATTTTTCTTCTTCTAGATATTCATTCGGATTTCGTTCGCTCAGATAAACCGGTAATTTAATGCTTAACATTTGTTCAAATGTTAAACCGTCTTGTTTATTTGTCGAGTCATTAGTGTTTGGACAATCACTTTGACATAATGCATGATCTGCTGAGAGTAAGTCGCTTTTCAAGGATGCTCTTAAGCTAAGATTTCCTAACAGTACATCGACACTGGTGCTAGAATCCGTTCCACTTGGTTCGCTATGTCGTAAAGTGTAACATTGATTCGTATCATACTGGCAATATCCGTGTGGTATTGGATAACGCGGATATGACGTAAATGTTTTTTGCCGGCGTTCTTCGATTGTTCTTTCATGTTCTTGTAACTTTTTAATTGCCTTCTCTAAAAATCTATGTTATATTGAAATTCTTATTTATTAATTATTTTTTAAATATAAATTTTTAAATTATTATATATGTCTTTTTTTAATAAAATTTTAATGTTAAATTATATATAAAAGATATAAAATTATATACACTATGTTACAATTAAATTTGAAACCTATTTGTACTGGATCTAACGAGATAAAATTGATTTTATTTAAGATTTTCTATTAGTAATAGTATAGTTAATTATAAAAATAAAGTTTAATGACATGGAGTCAATTTTTAAATTAACTAATAATCAAAATGAATAATAAAAATAGAAAAAATTTGTTAGAATTTAATATTGAATAGAAAAAAATTGAATTTTTTTGATAGAGTTTGAATTTTAACTGTAATATATACATATGTATACTTTGACTGATGATCAGTAGGTTGCACCGTCAAATTTTGTAACTGCAACTGTTTTTCTCTAGCTTGACTTGCAGATAGAGGTGTAGTAAACGGTGTGGGTCCAATTTCACCAACTATTACTAGTCTATTTTTGACAAAAGGATGATCTAAAAGAGCTGGCCAAGTTAATCTTTGCGAAGGATCCTTTTGTAATAATCCCTACTAATCAAATTTTCATTGATAAAAATTTTTAATAAAAAAAAAATCTTTTTATTTAAAAACTTCAAAATATATGAATATGTTATAACCTGTAAAAATTGTTTGCAATTTTGTGAAATATAATCTGGCCACTTAATTGCTTCAAATCTTATTAACCTGATTAAATGAAGGATAGAAGTTGTTTGAAAAGGTGGAGATCCTACCACTAATTCATATACAATGCAACCCAAAGACCTGGAATCAAAGTGCTTTGCATATATACTAAACTTTAATTAAACTTTACTTTACTAAATATTTTTAAATTTAATTGTTTAAAAATTAACACACCACAAATCTGCATTATAATCATAAGGGCGTTCTTCTATAAGCTCTGGAGCCATATATAATGGCGTTCCTTTTATAGAAGTTAATACATGTGTGCCTGTACTCATACTGCGAGCAAATCCAAAATCACATAATTTTGCCACTCCATTGCTTTCAAGAAGTACATTTTGTGGTTTAAGATCCCTAAAGCAGAAATAATGTTAATATTAAGAAATATTGTAATATATAAAATATCGAACCTGTGCAATACTCTGTTGGAATGCAAATAATAAAGTGCAGATACAAGATCACAAGCTATTACTTGTGCCCTTTGTTCAGATAAACGACCTGCTTTACCTAATATCTCATACAATTCCTTGTCTGCATATTCAGTCACAACAACTATCTGCAGAAAAGATTAGTTGTACCCGAAAGAAAATGCATAAATGCATAAATATAGATGATTCTCAAGAACTATTTTAATACCTCATTTTCTGTTTCAAATGAATCAAGCATTTGAACAATATTTGGATGATGAAGACGTCGTTGAATTTCACATTCTTGACGCAAGCTTTTCAATTCCTTAAATGATCTACCACGCTAAATAATTTTGTTTGTTATAATATTTACTACTAATGACAAGTCATGAAAATATATGTATATAGTTATAAAATTAAGAAATCAAAAGCTTAATTGCGAATTTTTATCATTTTACCTTCCGAATTACTTTGAAAGCTACAATTTCACCATCGGATCGTTTTTTTGCTTTGTATACTTGTCCAAAAGATCCCTCGCCCACTTGTTTTAAAACTTCGTATTTTTCCATTGTTTCATCAAATATACTTGCGCACGCGCAAATTTGAACACATATATATATAGATAGATAGATAGATATATAGATATATAGATATACTAATTATAAGTGAAAAAAAAACTAGATAATATTTTTAAACAAAATACAGTATAATATGATGCCTAAATACGTACTTGTATGTATATGATAGATCCACAGATGAGATACAGAATAAAATTTAATGGGACTTTCTATGTTCTGAAATACCAATCGCATAAAAAATCAAAGCGTTTGGTATGCCCTCTACGATTTAGAGCGATGATGCAAAAATTATATTCAATTTAATTACATAAGTTAAAGATAAACTAATAGATTTTAAAAATAATTTTTTTAATATATTTTTTAATAATTTTAAAACGTTTATATGTATTGTATTCTTAGATTTTTGATTGTTATATATAAAATAGATAAATTTATATATGAATTAAAATTATTCATGAATTAAAAATTACCCTTATGTTTTTCATTTACAATGAAAATAATATCAATTTATGACATTCTTTTATACAAGTGGATTTGAATATAAAATTGTTAATGTTGAATTTATTTATTTTTTTATATATATTGCTAATATATAAATATTTATATACTACTATATATACATAATACATACAATACATAAGAAAATATTTATGATTTTATAAAAATTTGATAAAAAGTAAAAATATTCTATTTTTAGAAAAAATTATATATACAATATATAAAATTATATATACAAAAAGAAATATGAAAAAATATGAATACATATGAATTATATATTTAAGATATATAAACACTGAATAGAATAAATTCCGTTAAGATTTTCAATTATTATATTAGATAAAAAAAACAATAAAATTGATCAATAATAAAAAAGAATATAAAATTAATTAAATTCGTAGTTTACAAAAAAAGATATATAAACAAAAAAGTAAATAGACTAAACATAAAGTAAAAATTGACTATTAATGCCATCTTTTGAGAAACAGAAACATTTTTCAGAGGCAAAAGACATTGATATACAATATCATCTTTTGTATAATTCTGGAAATAATATTTTTGATATTCGAGAGATGATAATAATTGTAATTCTATTTCTACTTTATCTTGTCTTTAAAGAAATGTATTTGATATTCAAGAGATGACATTAATTGTCAATTCTAACAATTATTTGCTTTTTATGAATTTCATTTGCGATACTCTAAAGATAGCGCTGATTTCAATAATTTTATTCTATTTCTATTCTTTCTATGTCTTGTTTTATTATATGCTCTTCTTATTTACTTTTAGTGTATAATCGTATATGAAAGATCTTAATTGAATATATTTTCGTCGTTTCTTTTTCGCAAAACTACGATATTTAATTTTTAATATAAAAAAATATAAATATTATATTCTTGGTTTTATAATGTATTATATTAGAATCACGATTTCACAAAATATATTATATTTGAATTGAATTTCAATATATATTGTATTGAAACTTAATTTTAATTCCAATCATCACTAAAAAGTTAAGAATGTGTCTATAACAAAAAAAATTGAATATTATTCTGTTATTTTATTCTGTCTTCTGATAGAA